AGGTCTTCTAAGGTTAAATGGAATTGTTGGTTTGCGACTATCGATTGGCTTTTATGGAAGAGAAGGAATACACATGTGTTTTAGAATGTTATGGAATCTAATAATTATATTTCTGGTCATACATTGGCAGTTTTAAAGTACATGAGTCAGTGCCAAAAAGATCTTCATAATACTAGTTTAATGAGGAACTAGGCACGAATTCTTCTACTATGTCTAGTAGTAACAGCCTAAGACTATACGTTGATAAAGCTTATTATGAACAATTGATGCTATAGGTTGTGGGGGAGTTCTTAAGGATCAGAATGGAGTTATCTTGAATGCCTTTATGCTTTGACTATAGAGTGGCGATGTCTCACTGCTGAATTGTGGGCTTGCTTAATTGGTTTAAAAAGTGCTTGGCAGAGTGGATGGTGGTCCATTATTCTTCATTGTGATTCTGTAACTATTGTGGATTTGATAAGAGGCAATGGTGTGAAGCTTCATAAATGCTGAAATATCATTATAAAGGTTTGTGGGCTGATCAGCTGGAGTTGGCTTGTGGATATTCATCAAATTAATCATGAGGAAAACCAAGTGGCTGATTCTCTTGCGAAAAGATCTCTTGATAGGGCTCCTGGAATCTATCATTTAATACTGACTGTACCAAACTTTTTGGAGTACCTTCGTCCTTCTCAATTCTCTTTTTTTTATTTTTTTCCCTTTTCTTTTCATCTTTTTGTTAGTGTTCTGTGTTTTCATGCTTTCCTTTGTAAAAAAAACAATAAGTGTTTATTTGAATATATAACATATGAAGCGTGTTCATAGATACCTGATGTATTCTAACAGGTAATAACAAGATAAAAAGTTCTTTCATTTGCTTTAAACTTTTGAGAATTCAAAGCTTATCCCTTAATACTTGCTTCCTGAGCTTACCATAAGCTAAACAATCGTGTGATAGTTAATCTATAATTAACAATAACTAATGTAATTACTAAATCAACATAAGCACTAATTTCTACTCCTAAACTCATATTATAACTACCAACAATCCTAATCACAAGTGCAACATCAATTCCAATTAGTTTCTTAGCTTCCATTAGCTTTCTTTAGCTCTTAACAACTTAAATGACAATAATTATAACACCTTATAATCCAATTTCTTCCTCAAAGAGCCCATGGTTTGTCAAAATCATAGAAATTCATATCTAATGACCACATCATCGATACCTTTTGTTCTATGAGCATAAACTAACTAGAACCGATAATTTAGGCCAAGCCCAATGGGCCAGTCCAAACCCATCCTAAAAAAGGTATGCCTATACTTGGCTATATGAGCTTTTTAAAAAGGGTGGAATACTTTAAATCTGATTTAAATAAGCTTAGCCTGAATTGAACTCGACCACTCAAATTTCTAGCTCTATATATATAGAGAGTCAGTAATTTTGGCTAAACTCAATGAGCCAACTCGAACTTGGTTGAAAAAAATTAAGGTCAAGCTTAGTTACATTGGCTTTGTTAAGAGGGTAGGATATTTTAAGCCCAATCTAAACAAGCCCAGCCTGAATAAACCCACCATGTATGAATTACCGACTCTAAAACTAACTTCTAACAACTTCATGTAAGCCCATTAATTTAGCTATAACCATCCTATAACTTAAAAATAAACTAAATGACCATATTTCAGAGAAACTTAAAAACCCCAGCCTTAAAATGGAGCTAAAAGGGAGGAGAAAGGATTTGGGAACTTACTTCTAGTGAATCTAAGCTTAAACACACCTCCATTTGCTAAAAATCCCATGCCCTAACATAGCTTCAACTTCTCATTGACCCCTTTTTCATTTTTTATGCTTTCTATTACTTAAAACACGTTTCTAATGCATCAATCACAGATGGTTATTCGTGTTACAATCATGTTTGATCATGATTGAGGTTACTAATCCAGATTTGCTCCCTCTATACTCAACTGCATATGGTTGTGAACAAAGAGCACACTTATCTTTTGGAGATACTCATTTGAGCATGGTAGTTACCTATTGGGTTGTAGCCATGGGCAGTCGTGTATAGAGACTAAAATTCTCTCTCATATTCACCCTTAAGCTCTTAATTTTTACTCTACATTACTCTTAATCTATTCCTACTTTGTTTAATAACCTTAATTACTCTTGGTTAATTAATTAAGTTTGAAAATTAATATTTGAGATGCTACAACCTGGGCAATGAGTTTAGAGAACCAGGTCGATTGATCGTGATCAAAGAAATCCTGTTTGGCTTGTGCTAGACAAGTATGAGCTTCTTCTTCAATAACGACGACACTAGTAGACCTTGAACTCATACATTTAGAAGTGTTAGGAAGAGCATAAATCATGAATATTTTTAAAGGATTCGTCAATGAGATTGTTATAGGGGAGGAATTTCTGCAGAAGGGTAGGGGAGGAATTTCCATAAAAAGGGTCTCATAAAGAGAGGGAGAGAAGGGAGATGTCACTTGGGAATGTAAAGTGGCAGAATGCAGAGAGAGAGAGGGGGGAGAGAGAGAGAGATAGATCCAATACCACTTGTCAAGGCCCACAATTAAAGTTACAAACATTTGTACCATTTTAATAGTCATGACCAAATTGCTTAAAGTTTAATTGTTCAGTGTTTAAAATGTATCAAGTTAAGATTCAAATTACCCTTAGACCTATGGTTTAAGGTTAAAATTTCCATTCACCCCTTAATAAAATCTAGGTGATAAGGCAAGCCTATATTAATGGTAAGGGCGAGGATGCCTCAAATTAATTGTTCAAGGCCTAAAATATATCAATTATGAGTATAGGCTTCAAATTTCGCTTGGATATATAGCTTAAGGTTCAAATTACATATTAATCTATAAAGTTATAAACCTAAATGAATAGCAGTAGTAAACGAGACTAAACCACATTAGTGAGTGGTAATGCATCCACCTCAATTTACCCTACTCTCATTTTAGAGGTAGTAATTTATGCTAAACTCAACAGGTTAGTCCACATGAGTGTAAAAAATCTTAGGATAGGGTTTGAGAATTTAATTTTTTTTTTACTTCATGTTTATTAGGGCCGCATGAAATAAATTTGAAAAAATTTGACCTAAGCCAAAATTCAAATGGGTTTAACCCGAATATCCAAATTTATTTTTTATTATTATAAAATAATATAAAAATTAAAAATATTAGTTTTAAAAAATAAAAATTAAAATTGCGTAACAATAAAAAAAAAAAAAAAAAAGATTTAACGATTCAGGTACGCCAAATAAGCCCAAAAAGCTTGAGAAGTTAGAGCCAAGTATGATTTCATAGAATATTTTTTTAACATATTAGAATGTTTTAAACTCCATTTAAATTAGCCGACTTGAACAAACCGTCTATTCAAATTACTTGCTCTATCTCCTATCACATCTTCTTTCTACAGTAGGCTCGGCTATGGCACTGTTGCACTCTTCATTCAATAATTATTTCACGCAACATATATTTGAAGGAGGTCATTGAGCTATTATATATATATATATATATATAACGAAATGCTCGCCGTGAGAAAAATACACTTGTTTAAAGCATGAAGCATCCGTAAGCACTAGAGGAATCGTGCAAGCAAGAAGTTCTGTATGAGACCTAAGCAACCAACTTCCCCAATCAATCACGGCGTTCATCGATCTCTTTACTCAGCTTAAACTAAAATTAAGAGTCGTTCATGTATGAATTCTGACATAAAACGCGTGATGTCATCCTCGCCCCTCCGCCACATGGTTCTCATCGTTATCTGCGCTTGGCACCCAATGTTAGGTTTGTTTACAATTCATATATTATATCGTAATCAAGTAAATTCAACATCACACCTAATAATAATGAGTACTGAATAGTTTGTTTCTTTTTTAAACTGTCATCCCTGCCCACTTAATCACTTGCTATTATGCATCGGAAACATCATTTATTCGTGAACATTGTGACAAGTGGACATATGTTGTGAGGTTTCGTGCCACATCTCATCTTAATTAAAATAAAACATCTGTAACATATTTTTCTCGGCCAAATTCAAAGTTTCTGATAGTTGTTTCCTCAAGAAACTTACAAATTCAATGGTTAAATAGTAGATTTCGCTGCAACTCCAGAACTCACGTAAACATAATGTCTTGATTTTTTTTTTTTTTTGACGAAGCTAGTCATCTCCATTATTGGGCCATTTGTTTAGACGGAAAGACAAGACTGGACCAATATGAACCTACCTAAGCCTGTTTTATCAGAAGCCTAAATTTGGTGCAATGGGCTTCAGAGTATCGTACTAAATCCAGATCCCTTGAATCCCTTCGATTCCTCTCATAGATTCAGAGCCTGCAACCACAGCATTACTACAACAAGAAGTCAACAACCATAGAGCTCAAAAAAAGGATAAAAAAAAGAAGTGTCGACGTGGATTGTTATTTCTCAACATCGGAAATGAGATGGTCCACGATCCAAAGAACGTCGCCTATCCCACAACCACATGCTTGTGGCACTGTAAGACCCTCTGTGGCTGTCAGTAAACTAGAGAAGGCAATCGAGAAAGGAGGTTGATAATAAAGTCTTTTAATATCATATGAATGATAATTTAATTTTTAAAAATATTATAATTTTATTAAAATTTTAAAAAAATATTATATCAATAAATTTTAAATTAAAATATTATTTTTTTACTATTATCAATAAGTTATAATTTTTAATATTTATGAAATAAAAGTTATGATTATGACTTATTTTTTTAATAATAAAAATTATATTTAATAAAATTTATAATTTTTTATTTAATGCTTATTATTTATAAAATAAAAATTATTTTTTATATAAAATTTATGATTAAGATTTGTTATTTTTAATAAAAAAAATTATTTTTTATTTTAAAATTTTTTGACATAAAAATTTATAAAAATTTTATTAAAATTATAATATTTTAATGATTAATTTATTATTTATATAATTTAAGAGATTTTATAATTTTTTTTAAATAGAAAAGGCAAAATAAAGGGGGAAAGTTCCGTCGTCAATCCGTGCGTGCTCCAGCGAACGGCAAACGCCGGCTTGTCTATTGTGGTGCAGCATTAATTCAAGCCATGGAGGCTCTATAATTTCCTCGTGCTCTGACTCTCCCCTGCTCCGGTGCCTCTGGGAATCGCAATTTGAAGCCCCACCTAACTTTCCTGGTGGACGCTTCCCTATATCATAATCCCCCACTTTCCATCACTTCCCCGGGGAGAGCAAGGAAATGGATAACTCCACTCAAGAATCCCGCCTCAGATCCGAACACTCCATAACCTATGATTCCCCTTATCCTATCTACGCCATGGCCTTCTCTTCCACCCCTTCTCTTGCTTCTCCGCACCAACGAATCGCAGTAGGTAGCTTCCTTGAAGATTACAATAACCGCGTCGATATTATCTCCTTCAACGCTGATTCTCCTTCCCTTCGCCACCAGCCTTCCCTCTCTTTCGACCATCCCTACCCGCCTACTAAACTTATGTTCCACCCGAACGCCCACTCTTCTCTTCGAAAGTCCTCCTCCGACCTCCTCGCCACGTCCGGTGACTATCTTCGCCTCTGGGAGGTTCGGGAAAATTCCGTCGACACAATTTCACTCCTCAACAATAGCAAGACCAGCGAGTTCTGCGCCCCTTTGACCTCCTTCGATTGGAACGATATCGAACCCAAGAGAATCGGGACTTCCAGCATCGACACGACTTGTACGATTTGGGATATCGAAAAGGGCGTTGTCGAAACGCAGCTAATTGCTCACGATAAGGAGGTTTACGATATTGCTTGGGGCGAGGCTAGAGTGTTTGCGTCTGTTTCGGCCGATGGTTCTGTTAGAATCTTCGATCTAAGGGACAAGGAGCACTCCACGATCATATACGAGAGCCCGCAGCCAGATACGCCTCTGCTCAGGCTGGCTTGGAATAAGCAGGACCTGAGGTACATGGCCACGATACTGATGGATAGCAATAAGATTGTGATATTGGATATTAGATCACCGACCATGCCGGTGGCGGAGTTGGAGAGGCATCGTGCTTGTGTGAATGCCATTGCCTGGGCTCCCCAGAGTGGCAGGCATATCTGTTCGGCGGGGGATGATTCGCAGGCCCTTATTTGGGAATTGCCTACTGTGGCTGGACCTAATGGAATTGATCCCATGTCTATGTATTCTGCTGGCTCTGAAATTAATCAACTGCAATGGTCTGCTGCTCAGCCTGACTGGATTGCTATTGCTTTTGCGAACAAGATGCAGCTTTTGAAGGTTTGAGGTGAGAGAACAACTTCCTAATAGAAAAGTATTTTCACAATGTACTGAACCATGAAGTTGTAGAGATAAAGGACTTGTTCAACTTAGAATACCATCTTCTCCTGCTCTTAGATAATTCGTAGTGCTTCCTGACCATGCCACTTCCTCAGGCCATTTTGGTGAATTTTTTTTTTTTTGTCTTTAATTTTGTATGGAGAAGATATCCGGTTACCAGTAAATATGGTGTTCACTAAAATAATGATCGGAAGATTTTGTTCCAAGCAATTCAAATATAACTTGGAGTTCTTATTATTTTCTTGTTATTTATTTCACGCCCAACGTTAATTCTCTCTTGGATATACTTATCATCATGCATAGGGATACCAGTTTTCTTTATTTTACATAGTGATACCAGTTTTCTTTATTTTCTTCCTACTGCGTGCGCTTTTTCCTATCTTCCATCTCTACCACCACCGATTTCTTTTCATGTTTTACGTGAGCCTTCAAGTTACTCTCCTTGTTCTCTTCTACTTTGATGCTATTTTCTCTTGTTGTCTCCTTATACATGGCAATGTTTGGTAACACTTTTCACTTAACATTTTAACACTGGCTCTTCATTTTCTTTTCTTTAAACCATGCATGTTAGAAAAGGATGGTTGGGCATAATGGGGACTTTTAGCTCCCGATTTATTAAACGTCTCTGAACGTTTAAGGGAATTTTAACTATAATACATGACTATTCGTCGCATAACCTTAAAACTAGCCCTCGTGAACTTTGTATTTATCCATGATGATTGAAGTGGTTTTATGCCTCCTGTTTACCATTTCCTTTTTATGTGCCATTGTCATATCCGAACTGTAAGTTGTGCGTATGAAGCTGTTTATGCCTTTTGTTTTCTGTTATATGAGGCTATTCATAGTTATCACTATCAAGTCATGGCAAGAATCGGAAATCAGATGGGTAATTTCTGATCTTAGTTGTAAATGAAGTCAAAATTGTAGGATTTAGACATGATGTGTGCACGAGTGCATGCATTGTTTGTGAAACAGAAGCAGATTTTATGCGAGACATAACAAAACTACTTAACCATAAGTCTCACAAATCATAATCACTCACAAGTCATATAAAGAGGGGCCATACTTAAACCACAACAGTGGCAAAGCTACACTTCAATGACAATGCACACCACACCTCACAAGCTCATGCTAAAAAGTAGAAAGAAACAACTCAAGTAACTGAATCAGAGAAGGAGGTGAGAATGAGAAGTTTCGTGATGGAAAAGTTTTGAGAATGGAGGAGCAATGCAAAATGTCACTCACTATTCACAGCAGGTTCGACTTTTGGATGTGATCAAGGGATTGAAAGCCAAGGTTTAATGGAGATTGTAACACAGCATGTGTTTTGGGCTTCTCAGGAAAAGGCATAAAACCTGGCTTTTCACACTTGGGCCAAAAATTTCCCTATTTTGTGCTGACAAAAAAAGCTGGGAACTTGTTTGAAAGTAAATCAAAGTTGCTTCAATAACGTTCCAACTTTGTGACTTGACATGAAACACATTGGAACTTGATTGAAACTAAACCGGATGGACTGCCAAGACATTTGATTCTTGTTTTCTGGCTCATGTCACATGATTCCAGTAAATTCTGTTAAAGCTTGATTCATCTTGTGATTCAAAGCATCCTAGAATGTTTTGATGATTTTCTTTTTGCTACATTTTGCACATGTCTTTATTGAAAAATCTATGTTAGGTTTATTATTACATTTTCAAAATTATAAAACCCTTCTCATTTCTGCTCTATTTACTGCAGTTTATTGTTTCCTTTTGCAGCAGATATCCTCATGATGAGTTGGAAGATATGACTTGCTTGCATGACACAGGGCTTCCCACTGTTTCACTCAAAGATTGGAGCCTGCTTTATAGAAATTGATCCTGACTAGAACGATGGCATTTTTGTGTATTAAGATATGGTTATTGGGCTCGTAATAGGATTCTGGGCTATTGAATTTTTCTTAGATTCTGTTACAGCATAGAGCAGCTGTGTTGTTCCCTTGCTTCCAATTTCGTTATCTATCTTCCTGCTTCTTCGACATTAAAAAATGCTTGAGGTAATACAAGCAATGCAACTTAGTGGAATTTCAATTCTATAATTATCAATGCATATTAGGATCCCTGCAGTTTTGCTTGTTTCTTGTGAGATAACGTAATCTAGGTGCTAGAAGTGAAGGTGTCGAGGTATTTTATTAAATAACTATCCAGTATCACTGTTAACAGTTGGGAATTCCAGAATACCTTTCATTAGTGGAAGAGAACAGTTTTTCTTGTGGATTCGAATGGAAGCAGTTAAGGATTTTGTTTAGTATAGTGAAAAGTGAAATGCCAAAAAAAGGGGGGAGTAATTGAGGATTTGAGATTGATGCGCAGACTGCCTCATGCTTGAGTTGTGCGAGCAAAAAGTTAGCTGAGAAGATGTATCTTGTTCCTGCTATACCAATCACGTCCTAACAATTACCACTAAATTACCTGTTAGAAGTTTTTATGGAGCCCCTCGAAACAATCTTGAGTTCTCTCCTCGATATTCACTTTATGCGACTCTGGTGATAGATAGCATTTACATTTATCTAAAAAAAATATACGATAAATACGTTCAATTTTAGCTTTAAGGCCTTTGGCAAGTGGTTCAGAAGAGGAGACTAAAAATCAGATTAGGAAATCAAGAACTTGAAAAAGTTAAGTGGTCGAGTGTACTGATTTGCTCGAAATTTTACATGCACGTTGTGGGTCCAAGTTATTAAAAATCAAGCCATGGATACGAGATGATTTACTTGTTCGGTGACAAATATAATAAACGACGGAAGATGAACGATAACCTGCTGAGTTGCAGTGAATGAGTGGGTGGCCATTTTATAGACTAAATAATGAGAGGGCCATTTACTGAAGTCAGAAATAGTTGCTGGTAAATGTTAGCTTAGCCGTTTTAGAAGAGATATCTAAAGTTTGATAAAATATAAGAAGATGAATCAGCTCCGAGGACGCGAGGCATGGGCAATATAAAAGTCTTAGGAATTATTTTCTGCGATGCCCGGTCACTCTGATGGCTGGATTTACATGGAAGTTTAGCCGGTCATGTTCGTAGTTGTTCAAGCACTTCCACAAAATACTATTGCTTTCATGCCAAATTTATGTATTCTATGCGAGTAAAAAGTTGATAGAAGATTGCGACGACTATTCTTCATGTTCAGGGATTTCCGATGCATGCTAAACTGCAGCAGAATGGATTCTGAATTTTCCAAAAGAAAAGTCCATGTGAACAGATGATTGCCAAAATGATGCTGTCGTGGCATTAATACTTCAGGGAAACAAGGAAAATCGCTGTTAATTTTCCTCTGTACGAAGAGCAGATGACTCCGGCTGGCAAGAAAAACGGGTTTTTTTTTTTTTTGGGTTTGGGGGGGGGGGGACGACTCGGAGTTTTCTGAGCAGATTTGGATTCTTTCAATTATTTTATTTCAGGCCTTTTTTCTGACTGAATTTTTAAAAAAAAAAAAAAAAAAACAGGGGGGTGTATGAGCCTTAGGGAACTCACAAGTCATCTTATTATGTCCTTTTGGAGTATTATTATATCCTTGTTTGAATTGACATTGAGAGCGTTCAAATTCCTAATTCCCTGGGGTGTGGGGTTTGTCGAACCCACTACTCAACCTGTGGACCGGGGCGACTAATTCCGCTCCACCAGCAGAAAGCGCAACGAAGCCTCCGACCCAACAGATTCTTTATATTTCTCCGTGGGCGAAGCGTGAACATATAAGAAAGTTTAACTCTTAAAATTTTAGGAATTTTCATTAGCTTTGTTTGGATTCCTCAATCCAGCTGATGAAATTACTCGACAAGCAAATTAAACCAACTAAATTTTGTCTCCCTGTTTTGCACGAAAATTGAAATGATCTGTGTTGTTCCTGACTTATTGGTGATGAATAATGTGGTTTTTTTTAATAAATTTTTTATAAATGTATACATATAAATATATAGCAATATAGATTGATTTCATCAAAAATGATAAACCGCACTGGAGTCAACCCATTCTAATTCTACCTATATTCTATTCGGAAAAAAATCATAAAATGTTATAACACAGCAAAATTCGCTCCTGAAATACTGAGTTGAACAATATATGTTCATTAAATGCAAAATTAATATTCTAAATAATTAGTTACGTTGCCTTGGGGTTAATTTAATTGAAATTGAATTGAATGAAGGAATTTAAATCTTGAGGAGCCGGGATGGGAATGAAAACGGGAATATCTGATTCCAAGCAAAGTCCATTTCCACCTCTCGTTCTTTTTTCCCACCCACAAATCGATAGCCTCTCTCCCGCCTTCTTCCTTCCTCTTCCTTGCCTCTCACCCGCTATGGACCTCACCATTGACAATCCACTTTTGCTGCCACAAAATCGCAACTTTCACTCTGGAAACCACCGTTGCTGACATGTCGCCGCCGCCACTAGCCAACATCCACGACAACCTTCTCCCCCATCCTCACAAACTTCCCACCTTACCGGATCTCTTCCTCACAGCCCTCTCTGTTTGCTTTCTCTTCACGTCCTCCGCTAAGTCCACCCTCACCCCCAGATGTCCTTTTCTCTCGTTCCCCCTGAACCCTCGTCGCTTTCTTAAAATCCCCGTCATGTCCCACTCCGCGTCGAACCCTAAGATTAATCTTCTCTCTCGTCGCCACAACTTCGCCTCTCCGCAGTCTCTCTCCGACTGGCTCAAGACCCGTTTGCCTTCTGACTCCTTCGCCTCCTGGGGTGTGAAGCCCGGCACCAAGAACGTTCACAACCTCTGGCTCGAACTCTCAGAAGGTGAAACCTCTCTCGCTGATTCCACTCCTCCGGTTCGTACGGTTCAGGTTGTCACCGTTCGAGTCCTCGGCAAAGAGGGGAAAATTTTGGTTGAGTCTCACCAGGAGTTATCGGACGGTAACGTCAGAAAACGAGGCCGACCCTTGTCGGAGAAGATGAAGCCCAGTGAGGACCCGGAATCGGCTGCCATGAGGGCGATCAAAGAAGAGCTTGGCTCTATGGTTTGTGGGTCTGATGCCGATTTGGACGTCTGTGAAATTGTGAGGATTGATCCAAATTCGTATGAGATGAAGGTGGAGGAACGGAATTCGGATTCGTATCCGGGTTTGCCTGGTTGCTACGTTTTGCATACCTTGAATGCGACGGTCGACGGTTTGCCGGAGGGTGATTTTTGCACGTTTGAGGTTGACGAGTATGGAAATCTTGACGAAAATAATGTTGCGGACAAGGCGGTCTCTGTGAAGAAACATTACTGGACATGGGTTAGAGCTGATTCGAAGGAATCTTCATATGAAGTTATGAGCTGAAATTAACATTTTCATCTTGAGTTTTTTATACGGTATGGAAGGAATAATTTTCATCTTGTAAAGTGATGTGAGGTTTTGGTATATAAGTTCAACCATAATTATCATTCTCAATTATTGTTTTAGATGGAGTTAAACTACAATTGCAAGATGATATCAATGCGGCCAACTCAGTACTCAACATGCATAGGATTTTTGCTCTTCCCTGTGTAATTATGCGGCATTAGCTGGTTGTAAAACTGGATAATGTCTTTCCATATCAGTATATTACTATCATGCCATGTCATGCTTGATGCTTGTGATGTTGAGGTCATATGGTGGATAACTTCTGAAATATGAATATTGAATAAAATCAAGGCAGCTTACATTGAATGTTTCTTTTCTTGAATGCGTTCCATCACTTGTCTGCAAAAAACATACGTGGTGACATAAGTAAATTATGGCTCAAAACTTGTTTCACTTAATTGGCATTTTAGATCAGTACAGTGAGTGTATCGATGATCTATGATGTTTTAAAATGTTCTGAAGGGCTATTGATCATATATACTCTGTTAGGAGTCTTTTGGTATATCAATGGGTGATTACTTGTTAGATCCATTTCCAAAATCTTGAAGACATACTTTAGATTCTATCACTGAATTCACCAGGGACTTTTTTTTGGCCCCCGGACAACGATCTCGTCAGGGACTTTATTTCTAGATGCGTGATATGGTTGACTTAGTCATAGGCTAAGTTTTGATTTTTAGTTTGAAAGCTCTGTATGGGCTTTACTTTGTTGAATGTGTTGGTAGTGCGCATTAAGTAGAGTCAGAGATCTAATTTGTTAATGGTAGTTTTGGATGGCAGTGGAGAAAGCCAAGTAATTTCTTGTATCTCAGAACTTGGCTTAATTGGATGCTGTTAGCCCGATACTGCTTGAGGCTATTTTCTTGTGCTTCTGTCTTCATGTGGGCTGGGTAGAGAACACTCTGATGTGTTTTATTATAATATTATCTTGTCATGCTCTGTGATCAAGTGGAACTTTGATTAAAGGGAAGTTAAAGTATGGGATTAGTGATTATTATGTTTGAGTACTTCGTATGAAGAGTGGATTTATACAAGAAAACTGATTATACGAATCCTGCAACACTTTTGTGTCATATGGGAACAGGGAAGGCAGAGTTCATGGTACAGTGGTGTGGTAGTTCAGAGCTGTCCAAGATATATAACTAATATAGCCTGCAACTCAAGTTTACTGATTGGAATCTTATTCCCTTATGGGAGCGGCGATTCTGCAGATAGTCGAAGCGGATAAAGGGTACCATCACAGGGACAGGGATTACTAATGCATTTACAATGTGGGTTTTTCACACCCATCTATTGCTAGAGAAGTTTTAAATTCTGTGAAAGCTGCATGCTTGGTTGCAAACAAACAGTGAGGTGGCGAGATAGGGTCATAGTATGAATTTATTATCCTGATAGAGAAGAATCTAATGGGGTTTGACCTAGATAGCTGATTGATTCCCCTCTCAAAGCTGTAGCCGCAGCTACACATTGCTGCAGATTAGGCTTTCACCACCTGTCACGTTCTTCAAGGTGAGAGTATGGATGGGGTTAAAATGGGAGTCTACTGTCACAACCTGTGTCCAGAAAAAGGAAAACCTTCGAGGTTTTTTGGAGACATTTGAGATGACCTTTTATGTTCTACAATGTTCTAGAAACATTTAGAATAATCTAAAAATATTTGAAAAAATTTAAAAGTTTCTAGAAACTTATGTAGGAACTTTGAAATTTTTAGGATATTTTAAAATATTCTAAAATATTTTACACATATTTTGAATATTAGTTTAAAAATATCTTTGTAATATCTAGATATTTTTTGTAGATATTTCTATAAAATAAATATATACCATAGGATTGGATTAATTTTCACTATCCATTAAGGAGGTAGGAAAACTCTAGAATAAGGGGGAAGTTTATAAATGCCCTCTCACTCTTCATTTGTAAACAAGCAAACAAGAAGCAAAACAAACAAATTACTAAAGCTATCAAGTTCTTTTTTTTTTTTTTTGGTTTGCTAAGCTGTTTAGTTTTTTTTGCATACATTCTGAAAATTTAGTTGACTTAACAAAGATTAAGAAGTTGATCAGGTTAAAATGGACAAGGTTCAAAAACAAGTGAGTTTCAAAGTTGTGACACTATGTTGTGGTGGATAGATCTCCTTGACAACGTAAATTTTGTCAACTGCTTGTGTGGTTGACAAAATAGAGGAGACTACTCACATTGAGAGCCAAAATGAAGCATTTGTCTTCCACATGCACATGCATCCACTGCGTACACATACATGTGTGTTCGCTTTAATATGCCAAATATTTAATGCCTCTCATGTCAACCCTTCGCTAATTGCCACGCCAATTATTATTATTATTTTTTGGGTTGGTCTTGTTTTGCTTGTTATGAAGTGTTGACAATGACAAACCAGGATGTAACAAGGACTTGATTAAAGGGAAATTGAAACGATAGACGCTCAATAGTAAACTTTTAAAACTAAAGGCTTGACATTGGAACTCGAATTGAGTAGTTAAGCCTGTTGTGCATGTGAATTTTGTGATAATTGGTCCGCTAACATCCAGTATGGGCTTCATTTTCAAAGCTCTATCATTTGAGGGAACAATGAAGAAGGATGTTGCGGATGAGGGAGGTCATCTCATCTCTCCTCTGTCCAGGTTTTTTCGTTGGATATATTCTGCATGAGTCCACGTAGTCATGGCTCAGTAGGGAGAAGCGCATTTGATATTGGAATTAGTACACTATTTTGTGTGCTGAGTGATCTAACTAGTGAGAGCAAACACAGTATAGAGATTTCATTCTGGGCACAGATTTTGCTCATCTACCACGAATCGGACATGTCTCCGTGCAATATTCTTCATTCAATTCATACATCCTTAGTGCTGGAGTTGGAGAAGATAGAAGGTCGCTACGTGCTAAATTAATGACAATTTCTGTTTACGCCTTTCCTAAAGTCAATCGCCTTGTTAAAAGCTAATGTTGATTGTTTCCAGCCAAGTGCTCAACATGGTTTCCATTTGATAGGTCTGTCAGAATGAATCAAATTTGCTGGACTTTTAGCCATGTCTCGCCAAAGGCAAATTTGTTGTTTTTGGTGTAACTGCATTTTTTCTTCTTTTTAGCAGAAAAGAAACAGCTTTTTAAGTTTTCACGTTCGTTTGTGTTATTAAAATAAAGAAAAAGCTTGGATTAACAACTATCAGTAGGATACTTTTACTTGTCAGAAGATGGACAGATTAAAAGGATTTCTAAAGGAAGGTTGGTGATTTTAATATTTTAACAAAAATTGTAAGTAAGACGTGTGTTAGATATGCCCTTCCTCTGCATCCAGGGCCACCGCTTCCAATGGACCACATAAAATTATGTTTGGCGATAGCAAAAATCAGATAAGATCACTTGAATCCGTCAGACCATTATTAGTCGTTCTAATCAACCGAGATTCCATTTTCATGTACGTCTCAGTCCCCAACTCCCCGTAGCAGTGGGGACCAATATATAGAGTGGAGTGTTTTTGTAGCTTTTTCTATCTCCAAAAGCTATGCAACTTTAAAATTTTGCGGTGCAGGGTTTCTCTTAAAAAAAAGCAATGGTGGTGGAGTTATTTTTGTCCACATCATAATTTTATATGATTTTAACAGGAGAAAAAGAGAAACAATCTGATCTGAAATTAGGTAACAAACTTTAAGTGCGTTTACTTTTGCAGGTGGTACCGCTTCTACAATCAATTAAACCTGGATTAGTCAATCGAAAGCCCTTGAGAAACTATTATAGAATAGCATGTTGTTATATTAGTTCAAGTGGCATGGTGTGTTGCATTTGAAAACAAATGGATCGCTCTAAAATGAAGTGTTGAATTGTGCTTATTTGCTTGAGCATCCCTGGGTATTGTCTGCGATACTTTTGAAGGTAAAGAAATTGACATGAAACGTGCAGAATCTTGGTCAGAGAGCCACGATTTTCGCTCTTGCATGCTTGTCTCCTAATCCCGACAGCATATTCTTCAGTTAAATCCTTGTCTTCCAAACATCCTAATACTCATGAATGTCCGCGATTAGTCACTGTACATGATGAGCGGACAGATTATGCATCTCCTTGATTAGAATTAAGACTTACCTCTAATATGTTACGTTCATATGTTTTTGATGATTAACTTGTCCTATTTCTCTTCCATAACATTCTTAAGAATGTCTCTGGAGGAAATAACAAGAGGGGGGGGGGGGGAACCACAGATAATGATTTAACAAGCATGCTCTTTTACCCCACTCGTTAAATAACTTCCACTCCTATCATTCACACGCATATACATAATTTATTCGCAAATCTCTTGGCTGCAAAAGTAAATAACACCAATCTGAGGCAGAAATCATAGAACTTGAGAAGGATCTCTCACAAATGATAGTAGCAGATTGATTACACTAAAGGAACTCAGTTTAAAACAGTGGTAGAACATTGAGCACCCTGGTTTGAAGTGAGAGGAGCAGAAGGCATGGAGGGTTCGAACGCCATAACTGAAATACATTTAACATCGAACCCATAATGCCCAGTGACCCACGTCGCCACTTTCCACCGGAGCCTTCCACTCACTCTTAGATTCAGAACCAGTCTTCCAACAGTTTGATCACGACCCATTTCATAGCCAAGAGAGGGAGCCACAGGGACTTCATTTCCTACCAGAGGGGCTGTTAAGAGATTGCTCTCTTCGTGGTCCTGGTAGAGCGGTGGCAGAGAGGTATATGAAGTTATCTGCTGGCCCTTGTAGGTGGCGTATACTTGGAAGTCGTCGTAGTAAATGGCGACTTTCTGGTTTGGGTTCTTTGAGAGCAGTGTGACCTGAATGGAAGAGTTTATGCGGGATCCTGAGAGACTGAGCTGATAGATATCAACTTGTTGGATAGAGAATTGAGGCTTGGCAGGGCGGAGGATGACCCATATCGCAAGCGACAGTAGAAGAATTGCGGTGATGAATATAGAGAGAGCCAAGGAGAACTTCTTGTAGTTTCTTTCAATCTTGAAGCATTGCTTGTACTGGGCACAGTGTTTTGGAGATTTTATTGTGATTTCAGACATTGACTAGAAGCAAAGAGGACGGTTTGAAGGGAGGTATTACTGTGAAGAAGATGAGAGGAAGGAGGAAGAGAAGAGAAACAGCAGCACAGAACAAAATTCTAAATGATCCACTGATGTATAGAAATGACTAGAGGGGTTGGATGGGTTATAAATATAGCATAAACGTCAATTAGTCTGTCCTATGCCATGCTTTTTCGGGCATTAGCTTGCTATTTACCAAACCGGCAAAACGCGCGTGTATGAATCGTACATTTATGTATTCTTATGAATATAAGGCAAACTCTCTTCCAAGTCACATTACACGTATATAGGTGTACTAGATTTTTTTGGGGTAATATTTTTATTGAATCATTTGATAACAAAGACTTGGAAATTCATCCTCAAAGCAAAAAAGAACTGTAGACTTTGCTGAAATATAGCAGCAGAAGTGGTTTAACAGGTTCTTGCAGGAACAAGTCGTGGGAAATTTAGCGTTGTGGAGTGTGGAATGTGGACCATAGAAAAACCTATTTGATACTGTTAAAACTGGTTTTTGCGTGATCTGATCCATCGGAAATTGTTGATCATTGCATCATTGTACACCATTTTCTAAAGCAACTGCTTGTTGCTTGTTGCAAGCAATGACGGAGCAAGATTTCGGTGGAACAAGCTAAGCCTTTTGCCCATATATAGCTACATTGACGTACGAAGTACAGAGACCAACAACAGCCAAATTTCACACCTGAAGTCTGTGCAGGGTGCTAAAAAGTAACTTAACGGGTAAATATACAGGGTAAGTGCTTTTGTACCGCAAAACGCTTTTTGTCACTTTCTTACTTTTTTCATAATGAAATGAATGAGACCACCGTGAAATGCTACAATCCAAATTTGTGGCTACAACTGTCCGCAATCCAGCATGCCCTCCTTGGTGAGATTTAGTGCGCATGCCTTTGCTGAAACCCAAAAGTCCATTGCAGACAAAAACTTCTGCCAGCATTTTACTTGAAAATTGAATCAAAACCGTGCACTTCTCACAAGGGACATGATCGGCTTGATGCTTGGTTAAGAGCTTTCGCAATGGAAGTGTTTCACTTTTCAGCTCTATATATACGATAATAATTCGCATAGAGACTCAGTAGAGCTGTTATTAGTAGCACTGGAAGATGAACAAATTTTGCTCCTCCGATTTGTTAAACTATGGAGGGAGCTCTGTTCGTCAGAATTACTTTATTCAGACACACCAGAGTTTTAGAGAAATGAAGGGACAATGATTGTACTGGGCAAGGATGCAGTCAATTAGCCGCATGATATGCGTGTCGCTGGTGATGATTACCAGCTGTCATCGCAGAAGGGGTACACGTGGGTCCCACATAATGCTCTTTTTTCAAATTAAATTTGAAAGAAAATGTATTTTTTTATATAGTTATATAATTGAGTATTTCAACAATGTAAAAAATAAGTTGTTTTTTAAATGTACATAATTAATTTTTATTTTTAGTAGTTATTTTAATATATTTTTCGTATCTTTTACTGGAGCTTATGCAATTTTGTTTTGCCCCCTTAACATTTCTCCACATTTTCAATAGGATTTAAATATTTAAAAGATGACTGTAATTTTTTTAAAAAATAAAATATTAAACATGTGAACATTATATTTTTGGGGGGATCTAATTATAAATGTGTGCAGCTATGTATATTGGACGTGAGTGTATCAGGCACGCCTTGAACTTGTATACATGATTGGATTTTGATTGGTTAGTTTTGCCTTCCATTTTCCCAAGTTTGTGGCCTCCTTCCTTTCAAGTTATAACAGGAGATTAGAAGGAAAAGTGACAATGGCTTGAAGAGCCGTGAAATAGATAGAGCAACTTTTGCCATATAGCCTTTGTCAATGCGCAAGTGGCTTATAGTTAGATCTCCTTCTTCCATGTGTCTACTGTAATTGTTAACCTCTTAGCGTGTTAGCCAAAAGGAAAAAAAAAAAAAAATCTCAGTGAAGTTTTCATTCATAAATATCGAGACTTGTGAACTTCTGATTAATTTTTGAGGGACTTACTTGAGTGATTGTTTTTCTTTTTTTTTTACTATTATTTGAGGGCCCCACCTCAGTTTTTGACGTATGAGATAATTAGTCAATTAGCAATTCAATTGTTTATCTGATCATGTAATTTACATCATGCAAATGAATAAACAGTGAGAGAACTATTTCTTAGTGGTTGAATCAATGCATGGTAATTTGGCAATATGGGGAGCACCCAACTGCTAAGGGGTTTAAAAGGCATGCAGAGACATCTGAAATTTAAAGTTAATGGTGTCGCTTTCGAAGCTTCCTTTTTTCCCCTTCCAGTTATTGTCGGGGCGTATCAATCAAGAGAGAGTTGATGACCCCATTTGCTTAGTGGTTTCTCAACTTTCTTTCTTGCCAGTTCTTTAGTGCTTATTTCTTTACTTTGGGACCATGAGGACTCCCAATTTCTTCATGATCAATAAAAAGAGCAGATATTTTGCTTTGTTTTCCTAAGAAATACAATTTATCTTTGAAGCTTGGATTGAATATGTCGGTTCGTTGAATTACTGGGTACTGGGACAAGGATCTCTGCAACGTGCAATCATTTGGTAAAACTGATGAGAAGGTAGGCAAATAGATAATTGTATCACTAAATATGTAAACAAGCTTAAAAAGTGGCAGCTAGGAAGTGCACACTGCATACATGTTTTCGGGGAAAATAATTACTTCCGAAATGGTGGCTTCTTGCATTTGTCCAATATAATTATCTGCCTTTGCCTATAATTCATCTCAAAACCCTTTCTTTGAACCCTCTGATACAACTCGAAACGGACCCTGGATGTCGTGATGACTTTGAGAAGGAGTTGCTTTTAATGCTCGCATATTTGCTTCTCTTCACTCTATAAATTAGAAACGCACAATTTATCATCCTCATCGCCAAGTTGGAAACATCCTGATTTGCTGCGGCATACTGTGTGCAGCTAACCCGGAAAAGTCAAATATTCCTTACTTTACCTTCATTTTTCACTTTTCTTTTCCTCCTTCTGGCAAATATGTGGTGGTGGGAGAGTGATCATTTTGAAACACTTGCGAATGCACTCTTTCCTAAAGGTTGCTTGAGAAACTGTCAACCATGAAAAAGAAATAATGGCATTGAATAAAAGGAAAACATCACTCAAGGTCCGTCGTACCTAATTTATATTAATCAAGAACAGTAAAAAATTGAAATTTCATCCTTCAATCCTTAGCTGAAGATTATTTTTTACGTCAATTGATTTAATTGTCCCTAAAATTTAAAATAATAATAAAAAGTCACTCTCACTATCACTGGTGCTGGCCACTAGATTGTATAAAGTTTAAAATAATAAATAAAAATTACTTGGTGCTTAACCACCTAAAAAGTTTAATGTTCAAGCCAGTTTAATTAAAAGTTTTAAACTTTCATATATTTTATTTGTAAAAATGTGAATGTATTATTGTTAATCACAAATGCATTATTGTTAAAATTTAAATAAATACTTATTTATAAAAAATATACATTTGTATAATTAAATTCATTCTGTTAATTTTTTTAATTTGTTAAAACACGAATGAATTGTTATTCATTTTGAATAAGTTGCTATTAAAACTTGAATGTATACTTGTTATTAATTATTGAAAGCACAAGTCTAATAGAACGAATGTATAAATAACGAGCTATTCAGGTTTTAACAATAATTTTTTTAAAATTAACAATAATGCATTTGAGTTTTAACAAATTAAAAAAAAACAGATATGATGGATTGTATTCATCAACAATAAATTTTGGTGTTTACTAGACAATGCTGCTGGTTTTTGTCATGAAACATTCGAGCATTTTTAGTAGATTAAGTAAAAAAAATTTCTTAAATTTATTTATCTAAAAACTATCAAGTATTTTAATTATATTCTCACTCATCTTTATTTTTATGAAAAAGTTGTCATATAATCTTAATTTAAATCACAAGACTGCTATCAAAATTTCATAGCTTAACAAAACGCGATGGATATTACAGGTACTTCCAGTCTTTTACCTCCAAGAACACACTTTACATATGGGAATGGAGGCTGGAGGAGGGAGCACATTAATGAGATTAATATCCCACCTCCCAGGATGTTTTTCGACTTTTCCAATCAATCTTGCGGAGAACTTTTCGACACGTGGCTTTGTTACTTTAGGATGTCACGTTTGTGGTTTTGAGAGCTGTCAAACGCCATCTGCAAAGTGTTTCGAGTTCCATGCTGTCACTCGCCTCCGAAGGGACTCTTGCTCTACTCGCTCAACCATTGGGCAGGTCGGCAAATTAGGAGTTTATGTTGTGCCGTTATGCCTCGGCATCAAAATGACGATAATGTCCCTGACATCATTGCGTGCTGAGCATTGAGCACGAGGAACGCAAGATTCATTGACAAGAAAAGGAGAGGTGCACTCTTCATCGTTCCATTCGTTCCCTGTCTGGGCGGGGATTTCTTGATGTTTGTGATCATGTTATTTTGTTCCTAAATCCAAATCATCAATGATATTTAGGATTCTCCTAACCTTGGCTTAAATCCACAGTTAAGTGTTACTCTTACCTTCCACTTTAGTTTACGCTAACCCATTTAGTTAACTCTACACAACTTCAAATTGATTTATCGCTTCTTTTTTATGACAACATGGTTTGATCTTGTTAGTTTGGGGAGCAGGAAATTAAAATACATCCAGAAGACTCTGTGATTGATGTGCTACTATTCATTACTCTCCGTCCACGCTCTTCATTGGCTCGTGTCTATTGTGTCTCCTGTTCCCCCACCACAACGATAGAGAGCGAAGTTGAAAAATTCAAGGGAAAAAAACTGATTACAAGTGAGATATATATATATATATATATATATAATATTTCTCTCAACAATATTGAATGCAGATTTAGTTTACTAGTTTAATAAAAATTAAGAAATTTGGTTAAATTAGTTATTTGTCATCGTCATTATTGTTATTGTTATATAAAAGTTTGTTTCACTTTTAATTTCTCAAAATACCCTTCCCTTAAGTCTTAAGAAGGGCATGGGATGCGGGAGACAAAAAGAATTGAAGAAAACTATGCAATTAATAAGAATAATGTAAGGAAAAACATTACACGAAGAAGATAAATATAAAATTGGAATGATATAAAAACAAGTTCCTTACTTAAATTTAGAACCGCATGCGCCAGGATAATCCATCCCTGTTGTGTTCATGTTGGGTAGTTGGTTTAGTTTAATATTAGGCCTTAATCTCTTCTGACGATTACTTTGATATTAAGGAATCACGATTTGAAATGCCCTCTTCCTTAATCATCCTAATTCCATTCCCTCTCTTTTCCGGATTTGGATCCTGTGCGTATCCCAACTACATGCATGGGACGAGTGGTGCCATATGGCAAAACCTCTTGCTCTTCCACCCAAAAGCCAGCCACAATTTGGTCACACACGAATCTTCTTCCACGTCATTCACAGCATAAGCCAATTTCCCCAGGGACTTCTCAAACTGTATTGGCAGGCTTGCGGCTATCCATCTGCTGAATTTTAAGCTACCTCCATGACCACCAAGACACTTTCATTCGGATTACATGATTTTTGTGTCTGGACTGAAATACTCGCGGCGTATTAAGTAATGCGTCATCTTTGAGGTGGAATCGCATTTGCGAAAAATAAATGGCAGGATATTTTCAAAGGCTTCAATCATTCGGCAGAAAAAAGAACAATCAGACAAGTGTAAAGTGAGCGACAAACAAGACTGTAGGATGTTGCAAGAGTTCTGTTATAGCCAGAATCCCACGCTTGTGATTCAGGATGATGTTAGGCGATGGATCGCATGAAGATTTACTCCACCAACAAAACTTTGACTCTTTCCTTGCCCCTCCAGTTTTGATGAAATTAAGGCTGACTTTTAATTTGCACGAGACAGGAGAGAACTGGATAAAATTACCACAGGCGCTCAATAATACAATACAACTATACAAGCATGTTATCAATCTCATAAAAAATATGTAGCTGAGCGCCAGGTAAAAGGAACCATCAAAAGCACGTGCCTGTGCGTGCAAGGAAGAGGCATTTTATCTGGTTCACCTACGATTTATTTAGTTATTTTCCTTGCTCGGGGAAAGCAACAAATTTGGTTGGCAAGAACGTCACAGATTCTGGAATTAAAACATCTAAAATGGGAATGGAGGTCTTAAGTATGATTTCCTTCCTCTGCTCCAAACAAAAATATGAATTACTTGATGGCTATTGCTCTCATTTACCCCTCCCTTTATCAAATATCTGCAATGATTCAAAGGGGTAGAAACGTGCAGGATGAAATCATTTTTACTTTTCTGGTGAAATATAATAAATGGGACAGCTGGGAGCAGGCACGCAGGAGATGGTGATGCAGTGCTTGATATCTGCCTATCATGCAGATATTTTGGAAATATCTGGCACTGTATATCTATGCGGCGCACCAGGACCCGAAAAGGTTCACGAAGGAACCGATGTCACAAGTGAAAATGTTAAAAAAGGACCACACAGAGTTTTGTGTTGGATGAAGTCTGAGGAAGCATGGCCACGTCACTCTGGCACTGTCCCACTGGACGCATCTTCATCATCCAAAACAATCTCGCCCTCGCTTTCTTTCGTTATCCTCTGCCTCTCGCCGTTCTCTTCTTCCTTCACGTTTACCTCAATGGCGAGTTCGCTCTCTTTCGCCTTTCACGCCTCTTATCTCCCGCCACCCTCGCCCTCCTCTTCTACTCCTGCTTCTTCCTCCACTCTCTGTCTTCCCTCTTCATCTACTCATTTTCTGAGGCAATCCAGCAAGTCCTTAGCTTTCTTCAGTCCATCTCAGATACTCAGATGCACTGCTGTTGCGCCCAGAACCAGAAGAAACCATGCAGGTCGGCTCCTTGTTCGTATGTCCTGGGATGGACCCCTCTCTTCCGTGAAATTGATCACGCAGGCAAAAAATGTTGAGGTATATATGTCCCCTCTTCTTTACGATCCCTTTTCTTCGAATTTTCCAGACTCATCAAACATATGGCATTGGATGTTTTGACATTTGGGAACAAATAGATCTGTTATAGTTCTTGGGGGAAAGTAATGTGGGATTGTGTACAGTTGGCGGATTCGGTAAAGCAGCACGTGGAGGAGAAAGTCGGGAAGGCGGTTCAGAACCATTGTCACTTGGTGAGGGAGGTGGATGTAAGGTTATCCATCCGAGGAGGAGGAGAATTTGGGAAAGGACCCCTCACCACAAGATGTGAGGTTATACTTGCTCCTGGCACTCTAATCTCGGATATTAGAGATTTTAGCTTGCAATTTATCAATTGTGCTGGGATAATATCCAAGAACTAAGCAATTGAGAAATGCAATCTTATTGGTTCGAAATTGTTTCCTCATATATCATTCAAAATTAGGGTTTTGCACCTGATTAGGTAACTTTGTTCACGAAGCGGCATGGAGTGGTGCGGGCAGAGGAAGAAGCAGAGACTATGTACGGGAGTATAGATTTGGTATCCTCAATCATTCAGAGAAAGCTGAGGAAGATAAAAGAAAAGGAGTCAGATCATGGTCGCCACATGAAGGGCTTCAACAGGTTGAAAGTCAGGGAGCCTGTAACTCCTTTGCCCCTCGATGACACAGAGGCAGAGACAGACACGCCTCCCCGACAGGAGGAAGAATTCATTGATGAGGTTGGTTCTGGCTGCGAAGAGGGAATACTTCCATGCATTCATAATCTGGATTCCCCCCCCCCCTTGGTAGATAAGTGACGACTGTTTAACGTGGACGGTTTTTGCAGGTTGTCCGTACAAAATACTTTGACATGCCGCCGTTGACTGTGAGCGAAGCAATTGAGCAGCTGGAAAATGTTGATCATGACTTCTATGGCTTCCGAAATGAAGACACTGGTGAGCAATTACAGTGAAGCTCATTTTATTTTCCCTCCTCATTGCTTGCAAGTTCCCATGTATCAATGATCAGTAATTTGATGTTCTAACTGCTTCAGGGGAGATAAATATAGTGTACAGAAGGAAAGAAGGAGGTTATGGACTCATCATCCCCAAAGCAGACGGCAAGGCGGAGAAACTGGAATCTATGGTAGTTGAAACAGCCAGAGAACCCTCCCTCTCAGAATGAATTGCACTTGTGAGAACTTTTTGAAACGACTGTAGAGCTTGTACATGATTTGCGGATACCAGCTATGCCTCTGATCTGAGCAAAGCCAACTTTGATTCAGGTTTCAGTTTTGTCGAGGGTAAACCAAGTTCCCAAATATATGGTGTGATCTTCAATAGCTTGGTGTTGCAAAATGATAGAGGCACCATCTCTCATCCCGTAACGTTGAGAATTGAACTTGACACTGCTATAAGCATTCTGCAGAATATTGGGTTCACTTCCCCTTCGTTAGACATTAGAAAGTACATAATAAAAGTTGATGAGTTAATTAACACGTAAAGTATAGTTTTCCGGCAGGTATGCCAAGATAATTGGGGTTTGAGCAAATGTATTATGAATTATCAAAGCGAAAGAAAAGGATCGTAAAACACTACACAATCGTCATTCTGACCACCCTCTTTGGGAGATAGTCCATGATATCAAGTGCCTCCTGACTGGCTCCATGGAAGTTTCCCTTAAACATGCATATAGGGAGCACTTGATTTGCGTAGATCTCATAGCTAAGAGTGCACAAAATGCTGCTGCCCCTTTTATTTTGTTTGATTCTGTTATTCCTGAATGTGCCCCTCAGTTTGCACGAGAGAGTAACTAGAACTCTGAATGTGCCCCTTTTATTTTGTTTGTAAAATAAAACACAACTCCACTAGCAGCTTGCCAGTGCACTTGCCTTGGATCATCTTGTGTGTCTTAGCAGACTTTTCTCGTCTTGCTGGGTATTCTGTTCCCCCATATGCAAGCAGAAGAGAAACGAGCATCAAATTTTTATTCAACATCCCGTGGTTCAAGTTGTAGAAATTGTTATTAAAATTGTGCCTATATGCTTGATGTGCTAATTCACCGTGAAAGCATTTTCACCAAAATGTTGTAATGGGTACTGTTATCCATGTTAGCAGCAGCTAGTTAATAATGTTGAATGAAATTGAGCTGACATTTCTGTTATGGAAAACATCAGTAATAATAACCAAAATGGCATTGTATATCAGAGCGCAACAAAAACACTTGAGTGAATAGTTGAACATGCAAACCTTTCTAAGAACAACTTGCACAATCTCTTGGGCCTTTTATCCTAGATATTGGACCAGAGCAACACTGCAACGTTGGTAGTATGGGTCATCTTCTAAATCTAAATCAGCCATTGTAAAGCTGGAGTGGGCCAGAGGGATAAAAGGAGTCAACGGAAGAATGTAAAACACATTGCATTGCCCCGGCGATACTTGCTTAGACCATGGTGTTTGATCCATGAACAGGGCACCAGATATGCATTATCATTCTTGCTGTTATTATATGAGCACTATTTCTATCAAACAAACTGTAGCATTGACTTATCTAAGGATTTGAGGAGATTTTCTATTCAATTTTTCTTTTTAAGGTTTTTCTTTTGTCTGTTCTTTGCGATCACGAAAAACACAATACGATGCAATTGTGCCATTTTTACTCTCCTTTTTCCAAAACAGGTTTTCTTTGATGAATTCAATCTGGAGGCACCTTGACGCCGACATTCACAAGGGTCCTCAAGTTTGAAAATTTAAAACTTTTTCATTTGAGGTAGATGTGATTTACTTGAGTCATATCATGAAACATTAAAGTCATTGGTTTTTGGTAGCATTATTTTAATTCTAATAATAAATAAATGTGCATTTTTACATTTGAAATATTAGGAATGTCCAGCACACATTAAAGTATTGGTCGTAATACTTTTTACTCTTAAAATAGTTAAAATAAAGTATTTTTTTCTCACACCATTAAATTCTTAACATTAACCATTAAAAAATATTAGTTGAAAATTTAATATTGACAACTAAGAAATTTAACGGTAATTACTTTAAGAATAAAGTCATTTTAGCCAATACTTTTGTGTGTTGAGATTTGTTGGAAGATCACTTCAACAGTAAAAATGCTTCTTTACCCTTTAATAATAAACAATAGTGTGATAGAATAATTTGTTGCAGTGTCCAAGTCTTTTAATGACTCTCTCTTGGATCACTCATTGTGCGGTTGCGCCACTTCTAATAATGAACAGTTGGCATTTGGCACCGGCCGATATTCCATCTAGTTTACTTTTATCTATTTCGTCAAAATTAATGACAAATAGTTAAATTATTAGTATTACCTAGAAATATTTTTTTTAATTTACCCTTATCCGTTACATCCTCTTGAAATGGACCCCTTTTATAATTTCTTGTTCATTAAAAATTATAAAAGGATAAAATTGAAAGAAAATAATTAATGATGCATTTTTTAATATAAATTGACTCATAAAAAATTATCAATTACTTCACGAAAGTAATTTATATATAGGATCAGAAGAAAAGAATATATTACTGCCTCTATTAAAAAATAATTTTATCTTTAAATTAATATAATCTTTTTATATTTATTTTTATTTAATAAAATTTTTCACTCTAAATAAATATAAAATAATTTTTCTATTAGAGATACTTTTAAAAAGAAAAACACGATGGTTACACATTGAAACATCAAAAATATTTTATATTTTTTAACATACACCCTTATAAAAATATTTTATATTTTTTAACAGAATGAATAATAAGCAATTGGTTTTTTTGGGTCAGTGGTATTTGTCAGTTTTAATTATATTTGTAAAGAAATGTTTTTCTTTCAGAATTCTAAAACAATATTTAACAATAATTTTTAGTTTTATTCTTAAAGCAGCACTTTTAGATATGTTATTAAACATTAAATGAGAGATAAATAAAATAAAATCTAATGTACTTTTATATATTTATTGTGTGTGCAGTAACTTAAAAAAATATATATCACAAAATTTAGGGAGTAAGTATTTGAGGTTGGATGTTTGGTTCAAAATTGTCGGAAGTTGGAGTATGATGGTGAAGTTTAGGGGATGATATGTAAGCAATGAATGACGCTATTATCCATTATTAAACTGAGTTAGGAGCAGCAATGCTAATTGCGAATTGAGATGTTGTGTTTAGAGAGGCAAACCCCTTTATGAGTAATTAGCATCATCGTCATGTACGCGCCTCTGTGTCTGATACAAGAGTCATCGATAACTGCTGTCACTGTTGTGAGATAATGCTCCCTCGTTAATTGCCGCCGGAAAATTCAGCTTCATTCCCTCCATTCTCTCCCGCCCACGGAAATTGTCTTTCGGCTTCTTTCATCAGCCGCAGCTAGCTACCTTAAATCATTTTGTAACATTTATTAATTAATTTATTATTATTATTATTATTATTATTATTATTATTATTATTAATCACAGAAACCACGTGATGGCTTTTTCCATTCAGTCAAAGGTCAGCGCATGTAAATTAACCGGCCCACGACAAAAGAGAACCAATCACGGACTAGCAGTGCTCGGCACTCGAAGCGTTACGCGACATCAATCCACTCAGCTGGTAACAAACCAACTCGAGTTTTTAGGATCAACGAGGATGAACGCGCTATTTAGTCGCGAAACCAGAATAAGAGAGCCCGGTCTATAGCGATTGTCCTTCTTTCAGGGATCAAGGAGGCTCTCATCAATCATGCTCTCTGACTCAGTCAAGATACATAAAATCAGATCGGTCATTAAATCGATTATAATATTAGGTCACGGGTTAATGGTTCAATCAGGGTTAAATTAAGGGTTAAACTGGTGACAAACCGATGATGATTAAAATAATATAATTTAAATAAAAAAATATTAATTATAAAAATATTCAACCAAATTTAACCACTCAAAAATTTAACAATAATAAAATACAATACTTTAAATATCTATCCTTACAATTATAACCCTTTAATCTCAAAAATCTAGAGAAGAGATGGAGACAGAGCTAGAGAAGAGACGGAGATTGAGCTGGAGAAGAGACGGAGAGTCAAAGACTAAGTTGGAGAAGATATGGAGATAGCAGAGACGGAGATAGAGCTGGAGAAAAAATAGAGAGTCAAAGACTAAGCTAGAGAAGAGACTGAGACAGTAGAGATGGAGATAGAGCTGAAGCCTGGAGAAGAGACAGAGGCTAAGTTATAGAAGAGATGCCGATTAAGTTAGGGCAAGAAAGGAGAGACACAGATGAAAGGCCGAATTGAATGCTGTCTAGAAATCTGGATTGGACTTAGCATGTTCTGCCTTTGATTTTTCATTTTTTGACTTCAGTTTCACTTTTTTTGTCTTATTTCTGAACTTAGTACTCTAAAAAATCAAAAATAAAAAAAATCCCCCAAAATGACGTCGTTTTAAGAGTTTTGTCTGAAAAAATAATAACCTAGTTAACCCAGTCAACCCACTAAGTTATTCGGGTTATACTGGGTTAAACCCGGGTTGATCGGGTTACATTGATTCATCCTCTCACCAGTTTAGGAGTAAACCCAGACCAAACAAGGGATCGGGTCACCAATTTTCGGGTTGAACCGAACGGTTCAGTCCGAGTTCCAATACCATGTCACCCATCATCTGCCACAAGTGGTTGTACTCTGTTGCGAATGGACAAGCGACCTTTAAAAAGAGAGAGAGAGAGAGACTACATTTACACTCTTTTAATTAAAAAATGTAAAAATAATTTTTAAGGATCAAAGGTTACAAAATATAAAATATTTTTTATTTTTTAAAATATAACCGTTGTCTTTTTTTTAATATCTTTATTAAATAAATTATTTTATAATTATTTTAGGATAAAACACTTTATTAAATAAAGATAAATATAGAAAAATAAAATTAACTTGAAGATAAGTAATTATTTTATTAAAAGTAAAATTTAATTAAAAATATATTATATTTTTTAATTAAGAGAGTATTGAGTAATACCTTCACAGCACTAGTTGTTTTCCTCGTTCCTTAGAATAAAATGGGCAAAAAATCTCCTATTGGGCGCTTGTTAGATGTGATCCCACTATGCAAAGAAGCTTTCTCGTGAGGATGGTTAAAATAGTATAACTATTACTATTTTTGCATAAAAACTAATAAATATAACTTAAAAGCATTGAAACAAAGAGCATTTAAGAGGAAAAAGAAATTAATGCTTTAGGCCACTTGTCGAGAGATGCCGTAAAGACTGTGAATAATGGACTAATAATGACAAGAGTAAAATTTTAACTAATTTGCATCAAATAGATACCGTTTGAACGAAGCATCTGCGTATATGTATATATACATGCACGCATTCATATTATTGTTCCAAAGGTTTCAAGGACAAATATAGATAGATGCAATCCATGGTAAGAATATGAAGCCGTGCCATGGGTAGGTAAAAGGGAAGCTCCAGCGTCACCAGTTTTTCACTGTTTCTCCAATCTGGCATGGGGGAAAGAGGGAGGCACACAATGATGTATCATATCTATTAATCAATTTTGAAAACCGCGTTTGACGAAGTATTTGAATAATTTTTATCAAAATATGATTTCCGTTTAGATAATCAATTCCATCACATATCCAAATAGGCACTATGACTTTCTCCCTACACCGTCAATACTGTGTATAAAGTTGAAAGTAGAAATGTGAGAATACCACCTAACAGTGAGATATGAATCACTCACCACATGCTTCACACCCTCCACATTCCACCCATATCAATTCCGGCGTCTTGCAGCGATCGCTTTCTTTTTCTTGGACCCCGCTCCTTTCACGCGTCCCCTTGTGTCCAAGTACATAATATGTCACCTAGACCTAATACTTTAAGGAGACTAACCTTATTTAAATTAAATTTAATTTAAATTAAATTTAAAATACTCTATTATTTTTAAAAAAATTATATGATCAAGGCCAACTCTCATTTTTTTTTCTTGATTTGGGCTGGCCTCATCAAATTTAATTAAAATTATCAACTCTATATATTTAGAGTTCAAAAAAATTCAGTTATTGAGTTTATTTAAATTAAATTTAAAGTATCTTACGCTTTTAAAAAAACTTATATTACTAAGCTCAACCTTAACATTTTTAAACGAGTTTTAGCTAACTTGTTAAGCTTGACTCGAATCACCAACTCCATTCTTATCATTTATCAGCAGCATTTTAGCCCTCGTCATATTCTTATTTAAACCTCTCTTCTAAACTCCTCTCATCCAAGTGTACATATTAAATTGAACCTGCCTTCCACCCACTTCTTCGTTCATATGTATATCACAAGTCACATACCTTTTCGTAAATTTTATTATTATACATTGATATTCATTTTAATAGTCCTGTAAGTATGATTATCAATTCAGAATATAAAAATAGTCTAACAAATAGCATTATCATAAACCATGAACAATAACAAGACTTGTATTGTTTTGACCACGCAACAACAATATGACTAGTTTAAACTAAGGCACTGACCATAAAATAAAAAATAAAAAAAATAAACGTCTTTAACTGAGTTTGGTGCATGTAAATAAATATCAGGGTTTGAACTCCAATTGTGTTGTCAATATATGAGAAAATCCACCGCTGTCACTCGCAGCACATGCAAGTAAGGGTTATTCTTGCTGCGGGAATTCCAGCCGTCAGCCGTTTAACCATACAATTAAACTGTCTAAAGTAGATTCTTCAGTTCAACAAAGAACACGTCAATTTCCAAATTTGCAGTCCGCTGAATGCCGCGTTTTAAGTGTGCAATTCTTGACTCTTACTGCTTCTTCCTTCTCTCCGATTCCTCCTTTCATACGCTCATTCTTCGCTTCCGTGTGCGTATCATTCCCATTCTATTTGGATGCTTGCTTGCCACACATCAACTTCTGCGTAACGTATTGAATCATGTTACACCCAAATAGCGAGTGAAAAAGGAAATAAAACATTACAAAAATAAAAATGTAATTTTTTTTAATTATCAATTTAGTTTATGAAACTTGGAACAATTCAGTTCTTTTATGTTTTGACTTTGGAAAAAATCTGTTTTTTTTTGTATCGATATAATTCAATTCTTTCAATCTCTGAACTCAACAAATTAAGTACTAAATTATTGAAAAAACATTTATTGATTATAGGTTATATTGCCCAAAAAAATAAAAGTAAATTATCCCCATAATTTAAAGGTAATAAAAATTAAAATATAATAAACATTCACAAAATAATCGAAACTTTAAAATCCAAAACAAGGCCAAGCCCTATCCTTTTTAATTTAAAATTAGACCGAGTCTAATGTGGAAGTCTTTAAAGAAGTGGCACTGTTTAAGATTTTTTTTTTGGGCCAACGGCCTTGGCCTTGTTTATGGTTGATAAATATTCCAGCTGTCCATATTTTTTATATTTTATATTGATATTAATAGTATTAATATTATGCAAAAATTATCTTTTCCGTGAAAAAATGAGGACGAGAAGCATTAGCATTCGATGGAAAGTAAAACTTGGAATGAGTAAAAATGTTGTGTATGACTTCTTATTTCTTAATATTAAATTTCTGACTTATCTTGCTCAAATTAATATATATATATATATATATATATTTCTCCTCTCATTTAAAACGTTAAGTTTTCTCATACACCGACCACTCTTGAGGACTCAAATTAATATAAATCAATCTTCCCCTTAAACTACACCGATAATCTCTCGGAGTTCGGTAGTTCAGGTAGAGAGTATCATCACAAAGTTGCGTTCGGTAGCCAAGCCGAATACTAATTGACTGGAAAGCCCAAGCAAAACTGGTCGGCAGTGGTGCCGGAGCCCGTTGGATTTGGCAGGGTGCCTCAAACAGGTATGGTGGTGAGGACGATAGAAACATTTTTTTGTGGTTTGAGAGTGACCACATACCTTGTTGCTTGCACAATGTTTTGTTTCCCACTAGAGGAAAATCATGAATAAATCTAAACCAAAACCAAATGCAATGAAAGTGAGCCCAGAATATTTAATACAACGTGAAACACAAGGCCTGAGCGAACCCCAACGAAACCTAGGTGCTCTGCCCACTATTCTTTTGTTCGGCTCTATTCGCTTTCCCGGAAACGATCCAGAACCGTCAATTGACACATGTCTACCCCCTTGTCGTCGCTTTCAATCTCCACAAGACCACAACGCATCTCTAACTCGCTTCTCCGCCAATCTTTTTATCAACCTTCCGATTCCTCTTCCCTTTCATTGGTTCATCTTCATGCTCTAAGAATTTAAAAAAAAAAAAAACATTGGTTCCTCAGAGGCTCTGCAATTTGCACTTGTCACCCATCCAATTGCTACAACAACCACCGTCTATTGCTCATGGAGATGCTTCGCTACACCACTGCGTCATTGTGAGAGAGATAATAACGAAGCCAGCCTGGTTTCATTCCCCTCCTCATCCCTTATCTCTACCCCTTGTGTCTTAATCATCAATACCCTTATCTCTCTGATTTTTCACCAAATTTGTCTGCTTCTTTCCTTCCTTGAAATCTCTTGAGGTACCTTATCGCAAACCCCTTCAACCCCCCTCCTCGATTTGCGCCGAATTATTAAATCACGGGAGTGAATTTTCGTTGAAGGGGCGGGCTTGGTTTTGGTTTTTCTTGTATTCCTTTCTTCTTTAAAATTCCTTTTCGTCTGCTTGATTTTCAATATTCTCTTTTCCCGTTGTTATGTTTTTGGTTCTATCTTTTTACGATATCTTGGAAAACCCCAAAATATCGGGAGTATGTACAGGGATGATTCTGTTTCTGGGTCCTATTTGGGTCGCATTTTTGGCTGGTGTTGTGGTCGGATGGGTTTGGAAACCGAAATGGGCTAGTCTGGGGAGAGAAGAATTAAGCTGTTCTCTGGCCAAATCCTTGGAATGGTGCTCCCTGTCGCCGCCGCCCTCCAAGCAAGTATTTTCGTCTCTCAATGGTTCTGAATTGCAGCCGTCAAATCCACAATCTATGGTCGTCGATAAAGGCTTGAGTAAATTGCCATTCTCTTCGCCGCCTCCAGAATATGATACCTGCAGCAGGTACCTGTGTCTTAGTGTTTTTTTATCGATTATTCTTGTCATTAATATGAAGTTACTACAACTTAGTTCGTTGATGCATTTTTGTCATTTTCTTCTGCTTCTCATTTTTATTTTTAGCTCGGTTGGAATTATGATATTGAACCCACTTTCAAATATAATAGCTGAAAGTAAACTCTGTTTTTTTTTTTTGAGTCCTTGGTCACACTTGATAAACTCTCCCCGTGGTGGTCGTTCTAGCAATCATCTTCCTGGAAAGAAAGATCGAGTAAAAACCAAAATCCAGATGATGTCATCTGTTTGAACTTCAAAGATTCAGCTTTTGGCATGAAATGAATGACTGTTTTGCACAATGTCATGGCTAATTTCTTTAGGCTTTAAGGGTTACCATAACATTTATGCTATCCAGCATATTGTCAGTGCGAGCTGTTACACCTTATGCCTTTTTGTGTTTTATGTGTCACTTTGTTTCTAAATGGCTTCGTGAAGGGCAGATAGCTGACTTTGTTGTGCTTTGCAGTGCGTCCACCATCAATGAAGATGCATCTAATACTATCATATTGGAGGATTTACAGCATCTGTGGCAGCTTGTAGAGGTAAAAGATGGAGGCCCTCCTTGGATACAGATGATGGATCGTTCCACACCTAACATGAGTTACCAAGCCTGGCGAAGAGATCCCAAGGTAACATCTCCTGGTTTATTGGGTTGATTTGAAAATTTTCTTTTTCCAAAGCAACACCAGACCATTGTCTTCTGATATTAATAAGCGATTGCCCAATAAAATTGGTCTTTATTTTCCGCAAAACCTTCAATTTTTCTGTAATTAACCTAGTTTATTCTTTGGTTGGTCTTGATCATTTGTAGGAAGGCCCTCCTCAATATCGAAGCAGAACTATCTTTGAAGATGCCACCCCGGAGGTAGTGAGGGACTTCTTCTTGGATGATGAGTTTCGTCCCAGGTGGGATGACATGCTTGCGAATGCAACTACCTTAGAAGAATGCCCCACTACAGGAACCACAAAAGTTCAGTGGATACGGAAGGTGACTAACTCTTACTGTCGTTTTGTTCTTCTTATGTTTAATTCTTTTATAGATTGGTTCCATATATTCATGCTTTTCAATTCTTTGTGCCACAGTTTCCGTTTTTCTGTAAAGACAGAGAATACATAATTGCTCGACGAGTGTGGGAATCAGGAAGATCATACTATTGTGTGACAAAGGTATGAGAAACAGGTTTACTCTGTAAACGTGTATGTTGTATTGGCTGAGGTTAGATTTAGAACTAACAAAATACTTTGAAGTGTTTCATGCTACAAAAAAAGATGGCTGCTTTGACTGATGCTGCACTTAAATATCATCTTTTGTGCTGAAATTGTTCATTTTGATTTTCCTGGGGCAAATTATTGCTAGATATAGAGTAGACGATAAGAGATTACTGAAGATTAAGTAAAACTTTTGGAGTTGGTTTAGAAATTGTCTTGCTCTTACATTTGGGTGGTCTGGCAACAATTGGGACAAATGAGTATATCAGCAAGGAATCAGCATCTTCCCTTTTGGTGTCCAACTAGCTAATTCTAAGATATTTTTTAATTATTCATCAATGATTAAGATTCCTTTAAGTTGCAGAATCATGATTCTATGCACCTTCTTGAGCTCTATATCGCTCCCTAATTTCTTTTTAATTTCATCGAAGAAATGCTAAGTTGAGTAACTGACCACTTTATTTATTTCCATTGATTAAGGGAGTAGATTGTCCCTCTATCCCAAAACGAGATAAACCAAGACGTGTTGATGTCTATTACTCAAGCTGGTGCATTCGCGCAGGTATATACTTTCTTTGTAGTCAATTAGTCAATCAAGGATAACTTTTGAATTTGAATGTGAAGTTGCATGTTAAATCATAAAAACAGTGTTCCCATCTCTGGCCGTGGAACCGGCAGTAGTCTCACTGTGGCAGACAAGTCAGGGCTAATGATGTTTTTCTTGACAGTGGAATCCCAAAGAGCCCAGGGCCAGTTGACTGCCTGTGAAGTTATGCTTTTCCATCACGAAGAGATGGGCATCCCATGGGAAATTGCAAAGCTTGGAGTACGCAAAGGGATGTGGACATTAGTCCAGAAGATTGAACCCGGCTTGCGTGCCTACCAACAAGCAAGAGTTGCTGGGGAGCCAATTTCTCGGTCAGCCTTTATGGCACGGATCAACACTAAGATTAGTCCATCATACCTGCAATCCTTAGGAGCCTCAGATGAACAATTTGAAACCCAGAGTTTGACGGCGTCGGAGAAACCTCAAGGCATGAACATACCAAGGATGCTCATAATCGGTGGAGCTATTGCCCTTGCTTGTAGTCTTGATAAGGGACTGGTGACTAAGACACTTATATTTGGCGTGGCAAGAAGATTTGGTAATCTAGGAAGGAGAACGAAAGTCTAGCACTAGAATTAGTCTCTGGAATCCTGTTTCTGGAGACGAATGATAGTCTCTCTAGTTATCCCTTGATCAGGGTATTCTTAGAAAATTGAGAGGTTCTATATTGGGTCAAAACTATTATGGAACCTCTTGTTTTTCTAGTTGGACCGTGAAAAACTTATTGGTCCAGGATATGAAGGCAACATATGGTGTATATACTCGGTAGTAGGTAGCAACATGAGAGTCGATTTTTTTTATTATTTTCTTCTGCAATACCATAGTTTTACTTTTATAAATCTGCAATAATGCAACAAATCCGTAATGTTCACTTTGTTAAGGGGTTTTCGTGTCTCGTTGATATTTTCACTACTTTTGCATTGTACCGTGGAACTGGTGGAGAATATTGGTATATAGGATGGTTTCTACTCATAGCAGTCCAAACCCATGTGGAAGGGGCCGATGGGGTCGCAAATGATTTGGCTGTCATGTTACGGAATCATTTGTTGCTTTGGCAACTCTGCAAGCACCGAACAGCATCATTTGTTGCTTTGGCAACTCTGCATGCACCAAACAGCAGCAATGAGTTCACATGTGAACTCCAATAGTCGAAGATTAAGGCTATATTTGCATAATCATTCCAATTGAGGTTTGGGTGCCCAAATCTCAACTCCCAAAGTTTATTAGGATGTTAACAATTTTGTTTGGATAAAAAAAGTCTTTAGAAGAGCATTGAGGAATAAACGCACGCTTCAATTGAAGGCAGGAAGGTGAGTTTTGAGAGCAACGTTCAGGACAATGAGTTTTCGATGAAACCTTCTTACTCCTGTATTTTTTAGTATATCTGTTTAATTTTTCTTTTTCTTTTTCTTTTTATTTTTGGCTTTTTGGTCTTCTGCCAAAAAGATTGAAGTTGATAAAAACAAAACAAAACACTTAAAAATATTGAAAAAAGTTAGAAATAATAATAATTAACTTTATTAGTATCAATATATATATGCCTATAAATTATGAACAAATAACTCATTTCTTAACTTAAATTGTAATTTAATATTCATAATTTATCAATGTATTTTATTTTTGTAATATTTTTTTAAAAAAGTTGTACTTTAAAGATTAATATTTTTGTAAAAATATCAAATTAGTAAGAAAACTCATGTTCATTTTTGCTGTTATACATCTCAACTAACTTTTAAGTTAAGTCATTTAAATAAATTTTAATTTATCCAACCAACTTCTAAAAAAAGATATTCAAATATAAATTCCATTTAAGTTACATACTTTCTTCTTAATCTCTGTGGATTCTAATTTTAATTGCGGATTTTTTAATTCAAACATGTACTAAAAGACTTTTATTTGCCCGATGATATAACAGTCAGGGGAAAGCAAAATATCACCGAGCAACTATTATCGCTATATTACATTAGTCATTAAATTCCAATTACCAGGAAACTATAGGCATTAAGATTAAAAAATAAATAATTTTTAAATAATTTAGAGATTTTATAAAATATAGAGATTATTTTATGTTTAGTTAAAATAATAAAAAGTGATTATTAGTTAGTTAGTTTTAGATTTTATGATATATTTTTTAATTTTTGTTTTATAAAAAATGATTTAGTATTATATTATATTAAAATTTTATGATACTTTCGTGTATCCTGTTTTTTTTTAAATATTTTTTCTCATCTATCATATTAAGTTATTTTTAGAAGCTACTCAAAATAACTTCTTAAAATAATTAAAAATATATTTTTATTCATATTCTAACCTCAACTGATTCTAATCTCACTTGCAGATTTTTCAATCCAAATACGTACTAAAAAAAGTTTAGTTGCTGGGTGATATTTATCAACTTACTAAAAATTAATAAGCGCTGTACTGGTTTCTTGGGGAGTCTTAGCTGACATGATTATAATCTATTTCTTTATCAACTTTGTGACATCCTCAGTTAGATGCAGGTCGTGAAGCAAAAATCAGCTGGTGACATGGTAGACACTGTTTCAAGGAAGGAATGTAAGAAAAGAAAAGCATATGGAATTAATGCATTATAATTAATATATTATTAATATATGTACAGTAAAAACTGTAGTAAATCACATTATTTAAAAGTCGCGAATAGTGTGCTTATTTCTCAAACTTCACATAATACATAGTAAAAAGTGTCTAGTTTATTATGCTATGCAACATATTATCCAAAAATTAACTTTTAACTCTATTTTAATATTTCTGTGGCAGCAATTATTCCTCCACTGATTCTGGGAATCAATTGTTCTTGCCAACAATTTGTAACGATGGAAACTCTTGTTCTAGCCCCTGTAATGATATCGAAGGACAGAGATTGAATGCTGCATGGGACTTTTTTAATAAAAAATTAGAAAAAATATAACTTTAGATCCTGCACTTTGCTTAAGTTTTGTTATAAATTCTTACACTTTTTTTTATTCTAAGTTCCTATACTTTTATTTTTAAGTGTTCTAAATCCTTCCATGAGCGGTATTATAGAGACTTAGAATACCCAAAAAAAAGTGTAAAGATCTATAACAAAACTCGAGTAAAGTCCAAGGACCCAAAGTTATGTTTAGAATGAATCTTTGTGTTTTGCTGTTGTATGAACGATGACCAAATTTCATCACTCCTCCTCTGCTGGATGACATAAAGTGCAAAATATGCTTGAAAATAATTGTTCTTTCATCCTCACTACATTAAATTATTATAATTCATGGTCAAGCTCCATCAGAAACACTCATGTTTGTGGTTCCTTGATTTCAGTTGTCTGAAATTACTGGGTCAGACATCCAGATAACTGCATCACATCAGATGGAATCCATGTCTGAATCTAATGAGAGGTCCTTGAAAAAATATCTGAGAACCACATTTTGCCACTGATTGATGCTGATCAATATGCTTCTCGTAGCACAATGCTATTTGCAATAGTTGTTTCTTGGTCTCCATTGCTGAATGAAACATCTGAATTCCATCCAGTTCCTAGTACTGATGCATCTGTTAGTCTACTTGCTGTTGGAGGAAGAGTGGTAAAATTTCTTTCTGGAGATTTTGCACACCAGATTGCTATACTATACAGGAAAGCATCACTCAAACTGCTGTGAAGTTCGTTGGATTTTTAGAGGCACATAATGCACGGGTTCCTTCAATAAGTTGGGTGTTATTTGCTTCTGATTTTTCAAATCCTCAAGTTTTATCCGCTATTGGAGGCTCTGATGGGAGGTGTGTCAGCAATGCTCAGTAAAATGTCGTATTTATGTTCTTTGTTACCTGATCTTGGTGAGAAACAAACGAACTCCTGGAGTCACATACTGTGATTAGTTGATTGTGCTTTAACTGCATCATCTTAAGGAAAATTGAAATGCTTTTAATGCTATTGAAATAAATCTATCTGTACAAAATACATCCATTTTCCTCATTGTTTTCAGTTAATCATCACTGCTAGGTTTGCTGAAATTATTAACAACCTACCTTGGAACTTGTGATTATAAATCTTCATTTTCTTGTTCTTGTCTAAGTGATCAAGGGTTCAATCCTCACCGCCCTCGTTCTCCTAATTGAATTAACCTCTTAGTTCATGGTTCAAGTAGGCTTGTTTTTGGTCAATGATTCAAGCCAGAAAAGCCCGTTGTATCAGCAGGCTTGACATATTAAAACCATTATTAGGCCTCTACATAACAGCTTAAGCCTCTTAATAGCAATCCACTGTCTCAAAACCCAAATCCAGCTAATAACCCTGGTACTGCAAACATTACTAAATTTGTTCTATCACTGAAAATATTGACTTTCTAAAGTACCGTGTGTTGTTGACTAATCACAGTTGTTTTGCCCCCAACAAGTTAATTCTAGTACCACCCATATAATTTTACATTTACTCCTGATGGTAAAGCTTAGCTAAGAAGTCAAGATGCTTTGGTCTGAAAACTTCCATGACGTTCTAGCATTTGTGTCAGTTTGCGCAGTTGTATCCAATTTTACGTTGTTTCTCCACTCATTTCATTTACCCCATGCTTGGCAGTATGAAGGGTTGCAGGGCTACAATGGCAAGTTACTGAAATCATCAGAATCAAATCACACTCTATTTTCTCTATTGAAGGAGGTATAAATTTTTCCCCTGTTCATAAAATGACGGTTTTGGCATCTAGTACGTTCATTTTAACTGTGATATAAAACATGGACCGCCAATTTTCAGGCATCTTGGTCGCCCATGCCACCCCATAACACTTTCTCTCCACTTGACCGACATGCATACATTTATGTCCTGGTGTAATTTTTTTTAGTTACTTGGACATAAATAGCCCTAAAAATAGGATGAAGGAAGGACTATAAACTCCGTCTTGGTGAGATAATTAAATTTTTCTCCCGATATTTTTTTGCGGTATATGAATGCTCTGAATGATATAGTTTAATGTTGTTTTCTAGTTGATTAGGAATAAGAGTGTTAGATGCTTAGAATAAAAGCTAATGCTGGTTCATTTGTTTTAAAGTTTCCAATGCGTCCATATCCAAGCGGACCAAGTCTGTGCTACGTAGTTGGCATGTCAAACTATAAATAAGTTGTTTTCCTTTGCGTTTGTTTATGTAGCTTACTTGCATCAGCTATGAGTTGATAAGTGACCTTGCCTTTCCTTGAACACCATCACACATCTCTCTTTCTTTTGGCTACCTCTATCATTGCAAATGCTCAAAACTCGTCAAGGCTACATTAAGGCCTAAAAATTTTATGTTCCTATCCTTTGAATTCTGTGTTGTCTCCTCTTGATTGGATCCCAAACAGTTCATCAACTGCCCGAAGCTCTATGAGTAAATTATACAGTATGACATCATGCATGCTATACTAGTTACTTGTATACATCCATTGTTTTCTCAAAATTGACCTTACCCACAATAGCCATATTATGCAAAGATTCGCTGACTAATTTTGCTTGATCATTGCAGGTTCGTTGCTTTGATATTGAGAAACTGAGCCGAATGCATGAAGCAAGGTGAAGTCATATTTTCCTGGTTTAAGTTTTTTGGGTCTTGCCTTATCTTTTTCTAAATTTAAGTAGAATCTTGGTGAAAATATATTATTGATAAAATTTAACATTTTCTTCTGAATATGGGCAGGATTTTGAGGGCAGCTATTGAATACTTTCGGATTGGTGGACGGCAAGTGGATGTTCTGTCGAGATTACCCTTTTCATATGGGGCTGAAGAGTATTTCAATTTGCCAAAGAAAGAATTAACTAACTGGGGATCCAAAATCATTTGCTTCCTTGGGCAATATCATTGCCTTGATAAGCCCCTGCTTCTTTGGGATATAATTGCAGCATTATTGGCTTTCAAGGGAAACGATTCAATATATGTAGAACAGATACTTATTAAGTGGCTCTCAATGTCCTTTCTGGGATCTCGTATGGACCTTCCTGCTGAAAAGGTTTTGTCAAAGGCCTCTTCAGAATTATCAGATATCTCTTCTCGCCCGCTTCACCTGCTCAACATAGTCTGTAGGCGTGTGATGTTAGCAGAATTGGATGCTGATCAAATAAATAGAATAGACAACAAACTTCTAAACTCAGGAGGGCCAGCTTTTTCCAAGGAAAAGCAAATAACTAAGTGGGTGGAGATTCTTCCTAGCAGTGAAATGGAGCTCCGAGAAAGGTTAGTGGGTTTTAGTTTTTCTGCTTTCCTAACCAACCTGTCCTATGCAGAAGCAACTTCTTCCCACCCCGTCCATTGGTATCTTTTTGGAATGGCACTGACGAAACGATGGGCGGAATTACATCAGGATAATGCGCGTGACCAATTGGAAGTCCTTGTATCAGAAGTTACAAATGAGAAAAGGTGCAGATTGCTAGTTCCAACATTATGTTTTAAACATTACAGATCCTTAGAATGCTTTGTTTATACTCGTGGACTTGTTGGACTTCAGTTTGACTAATAACTTAACGAAAACTATACTTTATTGAAAGCTTTAAATTGATGGAAAATGATCCTTAGAATGTGAGCATATGTAGTGGATTATTACCTCAATTTTTTCTTGTTTATCCATGGTGAGCTTCAGAAGTTTCTTTTCTTTCTATTTGGGAGACTTTTTGGCCACTGACCCTGCAGAATTCTGCATTTCTGTCTTCCCCTATTCATGACGAGCCAACTAGTTCTGGAATCAATGAAGCGCAAACATATTTTAAGGTGGTTTTCATGCATGAACTTTAATTGGCAGATCAATGGTGAATTCTAGCTGCGAACTTGTTATTAAGTTTGTAAAAATCAGATGGTGTTTTTCTTTGAAGAAGAAATTTTTAAAACTTTAAATATGCCAATTATAGTTTTGTGTCTGTTAACAGGCTTCTGTCCAATGAACATTTGGCAGCGGAGCGTTGCAGTTTTTGCTCAGCATCTGTTCCATATGAATCTCCTGAAGTTGGTTTTTGCTCAGGCGAGGATTACAGTGGTGGCAAAGGTCAGCGTCACAGGTTATTGAGATGTGGCACCAGTATGCAGGTTTGCCCAGTTGCTCCACTATGGCTTTGTATTTGTTGCCGAAGGTCAGGTTTTAGACTGGCGCCAGATGCACTCTTTAGAAAGTCTGCATATCCTTTAATTTTAAATCTTCCACCAACTCCTCTACCCTAGCAGTGTCCGCAAAACCCTTGTGTCCCTTTTGTGGGATACTTTTACAGAGACAACAGCCTGACTTTCTACTTTCGCTGACTAATGTGTCGCAATGATTAACAGCATTGGCTATATAATTTGTTGTATTTTAGTGGCTATCATCCATCATGCTTGCTCTCGTCTTGGCGCTTTGAAGATGAATTGAACTGTGCACTACCAATATACACAATCTCACAACCCACACACACACACACACAACTTTGACTTTGGCAAGGGGGAATGAAGAAAATGAAGGGGTGCAACATTTCCATAGGATGCATATGTTGCACAGGCTTTGCTTAAGGTGTATATAATAAGATATCGTTGGGTCTTTTCTGTATTGTTCCGAAATTCCCGTCAATTGATCGGTCCTGGTGGATAACTGTATAGTGAAATAATATTGATTAATTCCTTTGGTCTTCATTTTATGAGTTAATATTACCTGATAATTATGTTGGGTGAGTCAATGTCCTGAGCTGCGTGTACAAATAATTTGAAAATCCCCGAGCCACGGGGAAAACCTGTAGGGTGAGAGAACAAGTAAAAAAACTTGGACGTGGTAGAATTTGCAGAATGTCATGGAATTGTGAATGAAAGAAATCCCCCATTTCAGACGCCTCGTGATTTGAAACGGTACAAGTAAGTGGTGCAGAGGTAAAAGCGGAAGGGGAAGCCAAAATATATAATGTTGATGAGTTAGATTGAATTGACCGGCTAGTGGAAGGCATTGGGTTGGGGCGGTCAATCTCTAACATTCTTTGTCAAAGCTTTAGGTGTTTGGGCTTGCGGCCCCCTCCCTTGACTTTTCTCCAATCATGGTGGTCATAAATATTATTCTTTGTAAGTCATTTTTACTGATACCATTACTACCAACATAAAAAATATAAAAAAATTTAAAAGTGTTTAAAATTTTAAATATGACTTCATATAATAAATTTAAAAAGTAATATTATATTATATTTTCTTTTATGAAGAATAATCTTAAAAATATTTTTTAAATGTCACTTAAAAATGCACATCATGATTTATAAATAAAATTAAATTAACCTTCTAAAACATGCTCTATAAATGAGATCCAAGGGAGTGCTAACAAATATTTCGTGTAAGCTATTATCTAATTGGCCTATGCGCTATGCGCTGCTTTAGATGTTCGTTCAACAATCAAAAAAAAAAAAATCATTATAGGGCCACATTCAACTGTCAAAATTGAGGGGTGGGGGAGTAGAAAGAACAGAGCCAGCCACCTCAACCCCCCCACCCCCAACCTAGCCTTCTAATTTATTGGATAAAAGATAAATATACATATTATCTATAAAAAAAAATCGTTGTGTTGATTCGAAGCATATTGTCTTACTAATTTCCATGAATTAAAAGCACGTGGTTAAAATGAATTTTAATTACTTTTTACTCATCTTGTAGGCCAGAGAAATCTTTTTTAATTAAATAGGTGGTGTTACATAAGTTTATCAACATATAAAAGATTTTCAATAACATGTATGAGGAGAGAATGACAGTTAATTCTTAAGACATTGAATTAATAACAATTGAATCTACAATTTTTTAAAAAAATAAGTTAAAAATATCAATTCTGATTATTATACATTTAGGATTTACAATTGTAAATAAATATTTTAATATTAAATGTAACTCTTAGATTATAACAAAAAGTTTTTTTATAAATATTTAAATTGATATTTATAATTTATTTTATAAAAAAAATTGTCAAAGAATTAAGTATTATTAATTTATTTTTTTAGAATCCAACTATCATTCTGTCCATACATGAGGCTAAGAAAACATGACATTCAAGTTCACATACATCTACATCTCCTGATGGGCATAGATTTTCTCCCCTTCCTTCCCATCTTCTTCCATTCTTTTCCTTTTCTAACCATTAGATCAATATTTAAATGATTTAAATTTGATCTCCAATAGAATTATTATTAAAATATTAAATTATAAAAAATATAGATAATAAATTTAAACTACTAAAACTTAATAAGAACAAATTAAAAATATAATAAAAGTAAAATAAAATAAAATATTTTGAAGGATATCAAATTTAAATTATCTAAAATTTTAATCTAATGATTAGAAAGTGGGAAGAGGAGCGGAAAAGGATGGAAAGGAAGAAGAGAGAATCTTTTCTCGATTGCTGCACCGAAAAAAAGCCAACAAATTTTTGCCGAGAGACGGCAAAATTGGAAAAGAACATACGCAATTTCAAAATTAACTGGCTTTTAAATATTCCTCGTTAACCTTATGCCATTATTTGACCAACAAACAATCTGTCATTTTGACAAATCATATCATGAAGCTCCCACACAATGAAGACAGTATGAAGAAGTTTTTGAGATTTAAGACGAAATTATTTAAAAACTCTAATATATTGTCATTTATATATCTTTATATCACTTTTAAAAAAATTATTAACAAGATCATATATTAAAATTTTTTAATCAAGTAATTCTAATGTTTAATTTTTAATAGATAATATAACTAATCTATTTAATCTATTTTATAGTATAGTTGATTTTAGATAAGATTTAAGTAATTTTAATTGTGAAAAAATTCTCTCAGCAGTAGTAATATATTTTTTAAAGAGAATATATAATTAACATTAATACTTGATAGAAAAATAATGACAAATTATACAGAGTATAAGGAGGCAATAATTTTTTGATAAAATATGCAATTAATATTAATGTTTGACAGAAAAAATAATGGTCAGTTATATAAGATAAAAGTAGAGTTTTTTTAAAACCAAAGTCAACGTCCTTGATGGCCTGGTAGCTTCCACGTCCCAACACACAATCTTCAAATTTCCAGATACTTAAAACCAAACATCATCAAAACATAATATATTTGCCAAAGGGGGCCGCACTTTGACAACAAACACCTATCCTTAGTCATTGTCTAATGGCATTCATGGCATAGTAGCTTTCAATGATAAAATCCAAGCCGCTGGAAAAGACTAAACCCTGAAATTGATGCTTCAAAAGTCACAAGTCCAGCATTAAACTTTTAAGATCGTGATAATATGACACAAGACGCATGTAGTACATAAAGAGGATTACCATGCTAAAAAACCAATACATGTCACGCGACTACCTCCTCGTGTGCCTTCCTTTATTCCATATCAGATCCTTTGCTCAAAAATGATTAAAATAATGGGTTAATGCTCATTTTTATTTTTAAAATATTCGCTTAAGGACGCCTAATATTCTTATATTCAATATTGGTCTTTTTTTCCCATATAGTGTAAAACCGGGTCATTTTTATCCCCACTGTCAACCTCGGTTAATTTTGACCGTTATTTATTTATTTTTTATTTTTTTTGGCCAAAACATTACACCTAGCACTCCACCTTCCATCTCATATCATATCATCAGATATTCTTTCAGGAAGAGTGATCCTCCCTTCAACAAGCAAATCCTTGGTACCACAGAACAAATCCTCTCCATCCTCACCCCTTCTGCAAATCCTCTAGCATCAAATCTTTGATGCTTCCTTCAATGGTATATCTTCTCTTGTCCTCTCTCTTCTTGGCCATCCCTTTCAGCATCGTAGGGCATTAGGTCTGAGAGCACAAACGAAAGAGAGCAATTGTTCATGCTAGAGGTAACAGGTTTGAGAAAGATAACTTGTCCTACGAATAGAGTATCCTAGCATATTACAATTCCCTAAAACCCATCGTTCACTAACAGAGAAAGAGAAACTGGGTCTAGCACCTGTGTGTAGATTCGACGGTAACCCAATCGTTTTTAACTCCATCCGACATGTGAAGCTTCTGCTTCACCATCTCCTCCTTCGATCTGTCATGTGGGAGGGATTTGCTTGGCATGATAGAAGCATTTTTGAAGTAATGCATGGGGAGAAGACAGTCGATTTAAAGACATCTAATTTGATTTCAATAATAGTTTCAATCGGCCGTCTTCTCCCAAAATTAGAATCTATGGCGTATAGAGTCTGATTTTCTCTTCTTCTTCCTCTTTCAATCCTTTTTATTTTTTGATTTCTGGCGATGGAAAAAAAAAATTGTTCTAATTCTAGGATTGATTTTTGGGTTTCTAATTTCTGGTTTGATATTGGCTTGTAATTTTCATTTCTAGTTTGATAGTTCCTTTTTGATTTTTGATTAAACAGGTTTTTGGTTTGATTTCTGGGTTTCAAAATGCCAATGATTTTTTGCTTGATCTCGGTGCTTCTAATTTCTGATTGATCTTGATCTTAATATGGCTGTCATGCTTCTATATTCGATGTTTCTATGTTCATTGAGATTTTTGCATTTCTGGGTTGGCATTTGGATTTGATGATGTCAGTGACGAACTCGAAAAAATTTATCAGAGGGAGCAATATTTAAGCTAAATATATTGATAGTTATTATAAATATTAATTAAAGTAATCCATAAATAAATTATATGAAAAGTTTAAATATATATATTATTTTCATTTGAATCATAAATTTATTTTAATAATAAATATAAGAATAAAGAATATTTTAAGTATGCATACTTAATAATTTTAAAGTGAGTTTGGGGTAATTGATTTTTAAAATGGGCTAATTATAACTCTAAAGGAGAGCAAATATAATTTTAACTAAAAATCAAATGTAAAATTTTGTTTTTTTAGTGGGGGCAATTGCCCGCTCTATGCTCAACGTACGTCCCTCGTTGATGTTCACCATTGGGCTTTTTTAGTTCAATTTTAATAAAATATGTAGCATTTGCAGACACGTGAAGAAAAAATGAAGTTTAGTTTTTAATAAAAGAAATTAATTTAGCGTGCGAGGTGACATGATAGGTGGTGTAAAAAATCTATTGGCTTGGCCTACGTTAACATTTAACAGTCAAAATTAATTAAAGTTAATGATAGAGTCAAACATGACCATTTTTGACATTTAAGGTGAAAAAATGACCATCTAGTCTAGAATATTAGGTGTCCATAAGTGAATAGTTTAAAAAAAAAATGATCATTGATTCAAAAATAATTATGGTGACATCCACCATAATGGTAATAATTGATTATTGAAAACGTACTCTGCCAAATTATTTTTAAATCATATTTACAAAATATAAACAATTCACGTAAACTATTTGCCCCAAAAAAGTCGCATAAACTGTTTGGTAAGCCTCTCCTAATCCTCTTGACAAGCGCAGTACGTTTCATCATAAATGGCTTGTTTAAACTGCGACCATGACTTGGAAATTGGAA